TGCCCTCGCTGCGCCCGCAGAAGCGCTCGGCTGGCGCGTTTGGCGCCCACGTCCGCCGCCAGTCGAAGCCGGCCATCAGCTTCGCTCCGACGACCGCCTTCGACGAGTCGGAGCCGTCGTCGTCGTCGGTCGATGCCAGCATCGTCTCGTCGACCAACGCCACCGTCACTGCTGGGCCTTCCTCGACGACGGCGGCCAGGCGGGATGCAGCGGCGGCGAGGGGCCACCATGCCCGCCGCGAGTCGTCGGGCCGCTCGGGCAAAGGCGGGTTCTACAACCGCTTCGTCAAGATGTTTGCCTCGATGTCGCGCAAGAGCGATGGCGGCGACGAGTCATTGGGCTCCTCCTCTGCCTCGTCCTCCTTTGGCACGATGGCTGCTGTCCCGGGCCCGCAGGCGCAGAGCTACGATGCGGCACCCCGGCGCACCGTCGTGATGCACGAGGCGTCGACGGACTCGCTCCCCGTCGTCTCCTCGGCGGGGACCTACTCTGCCACCATCCCGGCTCGACGAGCGACGCGCGGCAGCGGCAAGAGAAGACCTCTCTCCTACTCGGCCGCCTCTTCGTCGCCCATGCCCTTTGAGAGCGGGTCGACGACCACCGCCACCGTCGTCGTTGGAGCGGGATCAGATGCGGGTGTGGGCCTGAGCGACAGGGCCAAGAGAGGCGCGAGTAAACGCTCGTCGATCCACGTCTCGTCGCCATCGTCGAGTCCCTTCTTGGGGACCAAGCCACCCACCGGTGTCGTCGAGAGCGGAGGGGGCGACTGCCTGTTTAGCTGTTATTACGCCGAGGACGGGACCGCTTCGTCGCAGCACCCGACCGTCGTGGGGCAGAGGTAGATTGTCCGTCGGCAGCAATGCAGATCCTACTTCCCTCTCGCCTCCTCCAACCTCCGTGTCCGCCATCGGTCGAAGGGCGTACCACGTCGGGGCATCCAGATTGAGAATGCTTGGCACAGCACACCTCACTTCGTCTTGATCCCGCGCGCGTCTTTGCTTGATCCGATGCCGTCGACGCTGCCGCCGACGCTCTAGGCTGATTGATGCATCCCGGCCGAGCGAACCGATTCGGTCCAGTGCGAAATCTCGGCCTGGATGCGTGGGAGACTGGTCGAGGCCGGTCCCATCTGACCGCACCGCGGTTCATCGAAGTACATCGTCAGTTGCGAAGATCGACGAGCTGGAGAGGGGGAGGAGAAAAGAGGGGAGGGGAGGGGAGGGGGGACTCACTTCGAGGCCTTTCAAGATGATGTCGTACTTCATCGTCGATGAAGAGGGGGAACGAGACGAGGTGATGGATTTTTCGAGCTCGTTTCGAAGTCGCATCATACTGGTCGTGCCGTCGAGCAGGTGGCGGGGTCGAGGAGGTCAGGAGGTCAAGAGGTCAGGAGGTCGTTCATGACGGTGGCCGGGGCGGAGTCGGGAGAGGAATCGAGTGCGGGGAAGAGGGTGGGGGGGTACCGACTTGTTGAATAGGCCGTCGTCTTCGTCGTCTTCAAAAAGGTAGACCATACGCGAAAACAACGACGCATATCGTCTCGCCACCTTCTCGTCGTCGTCGTCAAAGGATAAAACGGCGTGGGCCGCAGTGGAAGTAAGCCGCCGATCGAAGGGTAACAAGAGAAAGGGACGGTCAGAATCTGCCCTCTGACCCGGTCTTCAACCGACGTCATCCAACGGGGCGAGAGGGCGGGTGGACAGACTCACCATCTTGACACCTTCGTCTCTCCCCGTCCCCGTCGCATCGGCCGATGCAGCACCACCACCGGCAGAAGCGACGACACGAAACATGCCCTTCATCAACCCGGCACCCCCACCACCACCAGCATCTGCACCACCACCACCACCGCCGCTGCCGGCGTTGAAGCGTCGAAGCGCCTCGATCTGTTCGTCAAACTGCCGTTTGAGGATGGGGAAGGCCTGGATCTTGAACCCCATCAGCGCCGATTCCACCAACGGCGTGCTGCACCCGCGGCTCTCGACGAGCTTGAGCAGCGTCTCGTTGAGACGCAGCATCGTCAGGAGCGAGAGGAGCGGCGGCGCCGGCGTGAGGAGCGACTTGGTAAATGTCTGAGAGGTCGCGATTCAGTGTCAATGGGGAGGCAAAGGGGGACAGGAGCGTGAGCTCGATCCGCTCTTGCTGCAACGAGAAACGACGACGGCGTCGCGCCCATCACTCACCGTCCAGGTACTCAGCGCCGGCTCCAGGACCTGCTTGAAGATCTCGTCGCTAGCCCCGCGTCCCTTCATCTGTCGCTGCTCGGATCGGCTCAGCTGCACCACGCTCGGCTCCGGCTCTGGCTCCGCCGCCGCCGCCTCTGGTTCTGCATCCTCGTCGCCCGGCGCCGTGCCCGCCCGTGAGCCGTCGTCGCCCAGCGCGCCGCCATTGCTGCCGTCACCTGCGGCCGCTTTTAGCGCGCTCGGCGTGGGTGCGACGACGACGACAGTGTCGTCCTGCAGGTTCTCGAAGAAGCGCACGAGGAACGTGTACTCCGAGCACGAGTTGTCCACCATGACCAGGGATATCGCGCGGAACAGGCTCTCGGGCGACGCTCGCTGACGATCGAGTCGGGTCGAGTAGAGGGGACAGAGGAGGGTCAGCGAAGGGAAGGTGGAGTGTGCGTCGTCGATCGAGCCGGGCGCGCACTCACGAAAGACGAATCGTCGGCCATGTAGCCGAGCACGATGCCGGGGCCGTCCAGCCGTGCGTTGTCCAGGCGGGCCACGTCGAGCTCCCAGGGATCTGCAGGGCCGGCTGTGCCTTTGCCGTCTGATGCAACGCCTCTCGCCGCTTGCGACGAGGCGGACGATGGTCTTGAAAGAAAGGCTGTTGCGATGGGTCCATCCGGGCCGGGCCAGAGAGCGCCCCATCGAAGCAGGTCAGCGACTGGACCGAGCGACTGCAGCTACAAGGCCCGAATGGAGAGCGGCACTCACCCATAGCAGCAGCACCGGCGCTGCTGGCGGATCCGAGACCGTACGCGCCAGACGAAGACGACGAGGAAGAAGAGGACGCCGAGTGCGGGTCGGTGATGAGACCTCCTGCCGTCTCGCTCCACCTCGACTTGATGACGCCAAAGGAGCGGGCATAGCGCCGGAAGGCCGTCTCAAAGTAGAGGCGTGCGGCGGCGACGTAGGTGCGCTGGACGTCGATGGCCACCCGAGGCATCTGGCGGGCGAGAAAGGCGTAGAAGGGCCGGTGGTGCTGGAGCAGGATCGATGTCTGGAGCACCTGGACGTTGGTCGTCACCGAGGATCGGATGGCGGCGTAGGGAGCCAGCAGGAAGGCGCGCAGCTTGCTCGCGACCTGTCGAGAGGCCGAGTTGAGAAGAGGGTGGGCAGTCGCCGTCGGCGGGTCAGTCCGCGGTCTCTGAGACTGAAGAGGACGCCCTCTCGCGCTCGTTTTGCACTCACGATGTTCTTGCACAGTTCGGCCACCTCGCGCGCCTCTTTGACGGCCTGGTGCTCGGTCGATGGCGGCTGACCTCCCTGCGAGGACGATGCATCTGGAGCAGCAGCAGCAGCAGCAGCGACGAGAGGCGGGGCGCCGCTCTTTGTCGCCTCAATGACCCTCTCTAGCTGCCGGACGGCCTTTTTCCACAGCTCGACCTTTGCGTCTGGCTCCGTCTCGAAGAAGAGGTCGACGACGCGCGGGCTGAGGCTGATCTCGGAGAGGAAGTGTGCCAGCTCGGTCTCGATCTGCCTGCGCGCGTCCAGCCTGGTGTCGATGGCCTGGGAGGTGGTCTGGAGCGCCGAGATGTGGGACGAGAGGCTCGAGAGGTCGGACTGGAAGGTGGAGAGAAAGGACTGGAGGCCGTCGAGAAGCTGGGTCGAGGCTGCGGCCTGGTGGTGGAGCGAGAGGAAAGTGGGCGCGAGGTCGATGTAGCGCTTGTCCTGCTGCAGCTGGTGATGCTGCTGCGCCTGGGCTGCGTCGAGGTAGAGGGCGCGGATGTCGCTCTTGGAAGACGACGAGAGTTTGGCGGCGTGACCTGCCCTTGAGGCGAGGAGCTCTGCCCGTGCGTCGTCCATGGTGGCGTGCCGTGGAGGGTGAGTGGAGGCTCTTCGCGGTGAGAACGTGGTCTGGCCGCGAGATGGAGGTAAAGGTGGGCGAGCAGTGTTGGTGGTCGTGGTGGTGGTCAGAGGTCGAAAGCCGGGCCCAGGACACGGGCGAGAGGGTCCAGGAAGACGCGGGTGAAAGCGCACGGACGCCCAATTGAGCTGGCTCCAGTGCGCCTGCAGCCTGCCACCTCCCAAGGCCGACTTGGCCAAAAAGACGCGCGAAATTGCGCACAAAAATCCGCCAGCCGCCACCACCTGCCACCGCCCCCATCATTCTTCGCCTTGCACCCTAGCCTCTTCATCTCCCTCGCACTTGCCACGTGTCGCCACCTCGGCCAAGCTTCGCCCTCTCGCTCGCCCAAATCAAGACTCTGCTCCGAGAATTATGATCGACGCTCCGGCGAGCACCCGGGGCCAGCTTGCCACCCACGCCAACACCACGGCGTCTCGAGGTTCCTCGAGCCTGACAGCCCCGTTCGGTCCGGCTTGCGATCGCAGTCCGATATGGCCGAACGAGTGGCATGCTGGTGCCAGACGGCCGTACCAAGCAGGCTGACTACGCGAAATTTCGGTTCGTCAACGGCAGAACGGTCGCCGTCCGCGGCTTCGGGGCCCTCGACTCTGGCAAGCTCTGCCGGTCTTGTGGCAACCGCAAGGCGCCCAAGAAGCGCGACTAGGATGCTCGAGGTCATCACGGCCGGCGACGGCATCGCTCTTCAGCATCAAGTCACGGTGCAGTGCGGCGCGGGCGCGGACGCGAGCCGCAACGCCAGCCGCGATGAGTCTCGCGAGCAAGGGCGACGGTGTCTGCACACACCGACACCATGAAAGCGACGTCGAGTCGGGAATGTACTGTATGTAGCGGTGCACGAGTGGGATGGCTCGGCAAGGGTTGCACGGCATGCGCTGATCCGTCTCGGGTCGTTGTCGTCGTCGTCCTCACCGCCGCGGCCTAGCGAGCAACTCGTCCGTTTGAGCGAGCCCACTGCAGCCTAGTCTTGACAAGGACAGCTCCTCTCTCTGTGGCGGCCGGAGCGCAGAAAGCCCCCTGTGCTTCCATGCAAGTGGCTCTGTGTCCCCGCGGAGAAGGAGAGCAGGTCGGGGGACCCGGCTGCCAAGAGACGAACCTCGCTTCCGGAAGTCTGGAACCCGCTGTCCGAGCAAGGCTTGATTAAAGATGGAAGACGGTCTGGAAGCGGTCGCGACCACGCCTTGGCGATATCGGAGCCAAGGGCGTGGGGACGCCGTCATCCTGATTGAATCGGACGTCGGCGGTGCAAGATGGTACTGTAGAGGCGGCGGAGGGCGGTGGTCAGATGAGGCAACGAGGCGCGCTACAGTATGTATGGGCGCGTTCGAGGGCCTGACGGGCGGCAACGTGGCTTGATTCCATTGACCGGTCGTGACTCCTAAATGAGGGATGATGGGGGATGGCTCGGCTCTTCGCGGGGGCCAATGGCGGGCCATGGAGCGAGCGAGCGAGCGGATGAATCTACTCCGCGCGCTACCGACGCACCCGACGGGAACAAGCTTAGCTCGCTCTGGCCAGGTGGACGCAAGCGACGTCTCGAACGTGTGAATGGAAGCTTGATGGTGTTCTCAGTACGTTTGCGCTTGACCGGTCAGCGCGGGATGGGCGAGGGATGGGGCACAAGAGGGAGGTCCGGAGGAAGCGGGAGATGGCCGCTGGTGGTAGCGGCAGGCCTGGCCTCCTCGTCTATAGCGCCGCGCTTCGCTCGTCTAGCAACACCTGCGCCTCTGACGGGGTCCGGCTTTCTTCCTGACGTGCATGCAACCTTCGCCAGCGGGCCCACGAGTCGCAGAGCGAGCAAGCGAGCGAGCGAGCGGCTACACATCTAGCCGACCCTCTACATACATACACGGGCGAGGGCGTAGATTGCTGCGGAAATCACCGCCTGGCCTACGACCTGTAGCCCCTCGCTTGGGTCTGCCAATCAAGGCGACGACGACGGCCAAGGGCCAAGAGAAAGGACCTGGCCATGTGTCGTCGAGACACGGTGCGGGGCATCACCCCGACATTCACGTACTTGCGCGCGTCGAGGTAGCCGCGGCGATCCTCTCATGCCCGCTCATCTCCATGCTTCACAATAGACGAGCGAGCGAGCACAGCAGGCAGGCCTGGCAAGGCGCAGAGAAGGCGCCTCGAGTGCAAGTCTCAGTACGTACCAGATCACCAGATCAACCGACGGCCGACGGCCGACAACCGACAACCGACGACTCACCCGCCCGCAGCCGCTGCTGACGACGACGACGATGACGGGGACGACGACGTCCGAGACGAAAGGCGGGGCTTGTCATATCGCCCCGTAGAGCATCCGCGATGTCCGCGCCTCGCCGCCCTCAGCTCAGCTCAGCTCAGCTCAGCTCAGCTCCGGCGTACAGTCAAGGGTGCACTTGGCTGCGGGCGCATGCTGCGCCAAGCAGTCTGAATCCGAATCATGGCTGCGTCGGCCACGTCAAGTGTTGCCATTCGACGCCTCCCTTCTGGATCAAATAGAATGTACCGATGCCCAGCCAGCCGACGCCTTCCTTCTCGATCAAATAGAATGTAACGACGCCCAGCCAGCCATGTTGTCTTCTCAACAGGCGCGCAGTCAGGCCAGGTCGGACCACTGTAGGTAGACAAGGCCAGGCCGCATGCCCTCCTGAACTGCGGCACCGTGCCTCTGCCTGCCAACGATGCTCAAAGCCCCTCTGCCCTGGTCGTACACCGATCCTACCGAAACCTCGAGCTGTGACCTTTGAGTCAATCTAGCTTGGCTACCGCGTCGGCGTGGACAGGCCTCCAACCTAGTTTCCATGCCTTTCGTTTTGTTTCAACCGCCCCAACCCTCTACACCTCGGCCGCACCTAACGGCCCCTATTCGTTGCCACGCCCTGTGCGACCACACGCTCAAGCAGAGCAGCACGCCGCACGCCAAAACCCTCGTATCCATGTGGTGCTGAGCACATGGTGCGGCCCTGCTACGTAACGCCGACACCCTGTGTACGGCACCGCCCTTCTTGAGAGGGACATGGCTGGCTAGGAAGATCCTGGCTGGTTAGGAAGGACTGGTTCATCATCCGAGCTCCCGCCAGGACAGTACTACTGTATCGACGTCGCTCCCCCGCTCTGATCCTCTCGGGTGGCCACAGCCTTTGGCGCTCCGCTTCTTGACATCCATGGCTCGCTTGCGGGTGTCGACGCCTGAACCTTGATCTTCTTCTCCCGGCATTCTCATCGCCTCTCCCCGACATAGCCCGGCTGGTCAAGATCTCGTGCAGCTGGTCGGTGACAAGGAAGTCGCCCAACTGAAGCCTCTCGTGGTACGGCGATTCGCCCGCGCAGCACACTTTGGCGTCGAGCGACCACGAGGCCATCGAAGTGTTGTATTCATGAGCCGCAGATTGCCATGTAAAAATGCCAACCTCCGACCTCGTCGGCGTCGGGTCCATTATATTCTAGGCAGCCAGTACGTGTGATGGACCTTGCATCTGGTCCGGTCAAGAGCGTCTGCGAGAGCTTGCGGTTGTCAAAGAAGGCGGAGTCGAGGATGGCGCCGGCGGCGGCGGCGGTGTACGTACTCCTGTATACAGTAGTAGTAGTTGCGCCTGTACGTGCACCCGGACCGCCGTCCGGAACAACGATACAACCGCCCGCGATTCTTGGCGCATCGACGCACAGCTGCAGCAGCTTCGCACTCACTACTCGTCGTAGTTACCGTGTCTTGCTTGCCTCCTCTCGGCTGTTCGCCCGCCTGCCTCAGCTTCTGGCTTGCTCGCTCGCTCGCCGACGGATTCCGCCGCGCCTCCCTCCGTCCTTCCCTCGCTTGGCCATCTCCCTTTCTCTCTCTCTCTCTGACCCTCTTCTCGCCGGCGCTTTCGCCACCCGCAGTATCCCCCTTTGACATCGACGCCTTAGCTGTCCCCGACGTCGCTTTAGCATGTGTTGAGCCGCAGGCATCTCGGCGCCTGCGGCTCCTCGGGTTGCACCGTCCGGAGCGCCCTCTTCCGCATCGCATCGCCTCGTCTTTTGTCGATCCCTCTCTAGCACCGAAACCAGGATGCTGGCAACCAGTGCCCATCCCTCGAGTCGCAGCACCCTGCGCCCAGGCGCGTGTCGGCGTCGACGCCAGCTGTATGTACATACTGTAGCTGTAACGCACGCTCGAGATGCCCATCAGACGTCCCATTGGGCCTTGTCCTGCCCTGCCTTGCCTGCCACACCGAGAATAGCTGCAGTACGTTTCCGCACCGCACCGCAGTGCTTCCCCCCGCTCTCACTGCTTGTTGCTGCGTCGCGAAGCGCCCGGGCTTCACCGGCCCATCTCACTGGCCGGCCGGTCCACGGTGGCATTCAGCCAGGGATGGCACGAGATTTCCTGCTCTGGGAAACAGCCTCCGCTTCACGGGTACCATACGAGGCGTGGCGAACCCCAGAGCTCCGTCTGGCTCGTCATACACCGGCGCCGGTGAAAGGCGGGCAGGGCATGACCTGGCTGAAAGGTACATAAGATGCCGTCGACGAGGTCGACAAGGGCTCAGAAGCATCACAACCAACCTTCCTCTTCTTCTCATAGCCACACACATCCACACACACGCACACTCGCGCTCCACAGCCTCCCAAGCCAACCTAGCTTTCCTTTGCCACGATGCAGATGTTCGCCTCCCTCGTCCCCCTCGTGCTCCTCAGCGTCAGCCTCTTCGGAGGCGCCGAGGCGGCCTGGCCCGCTGCCAAGGGCACCGTCAAGGTCACCAAGACCCAGCCCGTGAGTACCACATGTTCAGCCGGGCCGCGCGCCACCATCCGCCACGTCGCTCGAGTCTGCCCGGGCCTGGTCATGTTCTTCTGCCCCGAGTGCAACGTGCTCACCGAAACTATATCTCGTCCTTGTCCTTGTCCTTGTCCTTGTCCTTGTTCTTCTCCTTGCGCCTCGCCCAGGTCCCGCGCGGCTCGCCCTTTGACGGCAAGTTGCAGCGCTTCGTTAGCAGCGGCCTCGGCGACGGTGGCCAGGGCGAGAACCAGAAGCCCCTCTTCGAGCTCGCTCCGGGCGCCTCGCTCTCCAACGTCATCATCGGCGCACCCGCCGCCGACGGCATCCACTGCCTGGGCAGCTGCACGCTCACCAACGTCTGGTTCGAGGACGTCGGCGAGGACGCCGTGACCTTCAAGGGCAGCGGCGACATGGTCGTCAACACCGGCGGCGCCCGCTCCGCCTCGGACAAGGTCTTCCAGTTCAACGGCGGCGGAACGGCCACCATCCGCAACTTTGAGGTCTCCGACTTTGGAAAGATGGGCCGCTCGTGCGGCAACTGCAAGACGCAGTACAAGCGCAACTGGGTCCTCGAGAACATCACGGCCATCAACGGCAAAAAGGGCCTGATTGGCATCAACACCAACCTCGGCGACACGGCCACCTTCCGCAACATCAAGATCAGCGGAAAGAGGATCGACGTCTGCGACATGTACAAGGCCGTCCCCAAGGGATCCGAGCCCGCCGACCCCGTCGCCGGCATCAACAACGCCTACTGCAAGTTCACCAGCAAGGACGTCACCTACGTCTGAGCCGCTCGTCTGCCTGCCCTGTGTCACTGGATCCGTCTCTGGAATCGTCCATCACTTCTCTCTCCCCTCTCCCGCTTGATCCCCGCTTGACGACGGAGTCACGGCCACGCGCCGAGCGCAAGCGGCGGTGATGCCCTGCCGATCCGGGACCGATCGACGGCTCTGACGACCGTCGAGCGCCGGTCCGATCCTGCTTCGCCTGCACCGCTTTGCCGACGCCGACGATCTTGGCTTATTCTCTGCAGCGCCTTCAATGGGAAAAGCTCTCTGACCGCACTTGAAATGGACCCGGGTTTTACCCGACTGCCTATCGCCACGATGTGTGAGAGAGGAAGGGAAGCCTGGGACGGGCCTTGACCTGGTGAGTGCCTCGCTGGCCAGGCTTGTGAGGTGCCAGACGAAGGCAAAGACCGGCTCTTGGGCGCCATCGGTTTGTGCCACGCTTGGAAAACTATTCTGCCGTGAACAGCCAACGACATCTTCCACTGCAGAGCACAGCTACCTACCGCGCCCAGCATGACGACGGCGGAAGGTCGATGGCTATACATAGCTGCGCCCGCACGACGGCGAGCAAACGGGAAGTCTGCGACACGTCTTCTTCCTTCCAAGGAGGGAGATTCGATTTGCCATGCTGTCCATGCGACGCACATACATGTTAGCAAGGCGTGTGCGGCCTGGCGTCAGCACCCGTGGTAACGGAGCGTTCCTAGCTGGCGAGCGCGGCCGCTCGCTCGCTGCACTGTTTCCATTGCGAGTCACACAGCGGGAGGAGGGTCGAGCATGGCGGTGCTGTCAATCCATGGTAGAATGCGGTGCTGTGCAGTCCTCTAGATGGTTGTTCGTATGTGGTGTCGTGGTTGATGGAAGAGAACCAGCTGAGCGTCTTCGCACTGTAGGCGACAGCAGCAGCTTAGCTTCTTCATGCTTGCTTGGGCCAGCGCCGAATGCAGCGGCAGCCTGTCAGCCGCGCAAGCGCCGACCACCTTCGCTCTGCTTGGCTTCTTCCATCCGCCCGGACGTATGTACCGGCACCAGCCCCGCCTGACACGGCAGCGCCGCCGCCGCCGCCGACGCCGCCGCCGACGCCGCCGCCTGAGGCAGGCAGGCCCCTGTCCACCTCCATCCCCGGCGGTGGATGCATATTCAGCCCGTTTCCCTTGGCTTTTTCTCCGAGATCGACATCGTGCGTACGCCCGTGCCGGCTTCGGTTGAAGCGGGCAGAGGGAAAAACTTCTCAGAGAAGGAAAGCCTGGCCTCGCTCCTGCCTGCCTGCCTGCCTGCCTCGAACATCACCGACGACGACCCCATGTCGGACGACACGCTGCCAGGCGAATGGCGGCGGATGGAGATGGCCGAGAGATTGACGGCTTCGAACGAGGGATCTGCAGGCAGCTGTGGTCACCTGCACATCTAGGTTGGCTCTTCTGCCACCGCCGTACGCTAGGGCCGTTTCTGCCTGCCCTTGAGCTCTCACACACCTGCTTGCTTCGGTTTCGCCCTGGCCGAACGTGCTCCTGAAAGCGCATCGCAGGGCTGCTCCTCGTCCTCGTCTAGTTTGTTGCACTCCGGTACAAAGCCATCCGAGGATGGTGGCACATGCCTCTCAACGAGGCCTGTTCTCTCGTTGGCGAGCTGCCCTGAGGATATAAGCACCGATGCGGCGAGCGCTTCATCCTGTGTGCTCATCGTCTCATCCCCCTCGTCCAGCCCTCCTCTCGATCCCTGCTTCGTCTGACGTGGTACCCGCCCCTTGCTCCTTCTTCCTCCCCGCCCCGCCCCTTCCCCTCCCGTCCTCCCCTATCTTTCACACAGGACGATGCAGCTGTCCGGCCTCCTGCTGGCGGCATCGTCGCTGACCAGCCTGGCGGCCGCCACGCCCTTCAGCCCTCGCTCGACGACGGCGGGCAACAACGAGCAGTGCGCGCACAAGGCCCTCGAGGCGCGCCGCTCCAACCTCGGAGCGCTGCGCAGCTTTGTGCAGCCCATGCCCAAGGGCGCCGACCTGCACAACCACCTCGATGGCACCCCCTTTGCCGAGGACCTCCTCTCGTGGGCAGCCGACCTCGGCGTGTGCCTCAACTCGACCACCGCCCTCTTCGCCGAGGGTCCCTGCGGGCCGGGCACCGTCGCCGTCAAGGAGGCCGACCAGCAGCTCTACGACGCCGCCATCGATGCCGTCTCGCTGCGCTACTCGGACCCGGCCACCCTGACGGGCGCGCAGCCCAGCGGGCACGACCGCTTCTTTGCCACGTTTGGCCGGTCCAGCATCGTCGCCACGCCCTCGGCGGGCAAGGAGCTGGCGGCGGTCAAGGAGCAGGCGGCGCTCGACTCGGTGAGCTACGTCGAGATCATGGTCGTGCCACCGCTCTGGGACACGCTGGCCGCCAAGCTGTCGCTCGCATCGCCGCTCTCGGCCAACTCGAGCAGCGGCGACTTTACTGCGCTCGACGCGCAGCTCGAGCCGCTCCTCTTGCAGCACATGGGCGAGATCCGCAAGACGTACGACGACATGGAGGCCGTCGCCACGGCGGGGTGCCCCGAGCGCGCCGGGTGCGGCGTCGAGGTGCGGTACCTTGCCACGGCGCTGCGCCTCATGACGCCCGCACAGGTCTACACGATGCTCTACACGTCGTTTGCGCTGCAGAAGGCCGACGAGCGCTTCGTGGGCGTCCAGATCGCCCAGGCTGAGGACGGCATGGTGGCCACGCGCGACTACACGCTGCACATGCGCATGTTTCGCCACCTTCACCAGCGCTTCCCCGCGGCGCCGGCCGCGCTGCACGCGGGCGAGCTGGTGCTGGGCACGGTGCACCCGCGCGACATGCGCTTCCACATTCGCGAGGCCGTCGAGGTGGCGTCGGCGCGCCGCATCGGCCACGGCGTCAGCATCGGCTTCGAGACCAACTCGACGGGCCTGCTGGCCCAGATGCGCGAGCGGGGCATCGCCGTCGAGATCAACCTGTCGAGCAACGACGCCATCCTCGGCATCCGGGGCGAGGAGCACCCGTTCCAGTTCTACCGCGCCCAGGGCGTCGCCACGGTGCTGAGCACCGACGACTCGGGCGTGCTGCGCAACGACCTGAGCAACGAGTTCCTCCGCGCCGTCTCTGAGCACGGCCTGGCCTACGCCGAGCTCAAGCAGCTGGCGCGCAACAGCCTCCACTACTCGTTCCTGGACGGCTCGAGCCTCTGGAAGGACGTCGTGGCGGGCCAGCGCGTCAGGGCGTGCGTCGCCTCGCTCGACGACGAGGGCTGCAAGGCCTTTGTCAAGGGCAGCGCGCGCGCCCAGCTGCAGAAGAGGCTCGAGGACGACCTGGCTCGCTTTGAAGCGTCGCTCTGCTGAGCCTCCCGGCCGCCCCGACCGCCCGCTTTCCCCCCCTCTTTGCCTCCTGCTCTATCTCGTAGACGATATGTATCGATCCTTTCGCTAGCTAGACCTTTGGCCTTGGACTTGCTACCTGCGACCTAGCATTCTCTCCTCTGCTCTCTGTCTCTGTTTCGCATTCGCTCCCTTCATCGACCTGTAGACGGACCTTGACTTTGCTTCCCTTGCGCCAGGGCACGTGCTGAACCGTCTATCGGTGGCGACCAGCCCATTGTCAGATGCCCGTTTCGGGTCTGAGATGAAGGCGTAACTAGTCACCTGTGTCGCCGACGCTCGGTCATGATGCAGCGGTGCTCATGGCGGTCACAGATCAATAAGCAAGACCGAGGCCGGGGGTTCAGTGCCTTGGCCAGCTGACTTCCCGCCGCGGCCTGGGCCGTCACATGTCAGACGTACGTGACTCTGATCCCTTCGCTGGGCTGGGCTAGCGCGCGACAAAGGACGATCTTGAGGCCTGCCGTTGGGCGTGGCGCGGCGTGGCCAGTCTTGTTGGGCGTCCATGCCCGTCAGGGACATGCCAGGCATGCCAGCTTCGGGGAGCGGGCAGGAGCACATTCCGCGCCGGTCGGTCGGCGTGGTCGGGGGGAGCGGACTGCGAATAAGAATTTGACCCATGGCGCCGGCTGCACCGAGTCCCCCTGGCCACAGGCCCGCCGTACATACCAGACGAGGCCGGACCTGCCACGGCCTCAGGCTGTTGTTGTCGGACCGACTCCGAAGCCGAAGCCACCGGCCGAGCCGGGACGAGGCCTAGGCAGGCAGACAGGCGGCGACCCGCGAGGCGGTGTACGTCAAAGGCCGCCCCGACATCTTCCCTGGCCTGCTTGCCTGCGCGTCTGTCGGCATCCCCTCCGCTTGGCGGGTCTAGACCCGACGACGACGGCAACGGCACCGACGACGACGACGTGATGGCCGAGGCTG